AATTTGGCCTTTTACATCCATATTTATTTGGGACATCCCTTTATTGTTTGGTGCACCGGTTCTGACACAGGACTCCCTGGCTACTAAAAGTAAAAAATAAAAAAAAATTTGTTTTGATTGATGGAGTATTCAATACAAGTTGCCTCTAGGTATTGTATATCTAAATCCGCGTTTTGAGAGCCAACTACACAAACATTTACTATTCTAGTTCCTTCTGATTTGTTGGAGTGAAGGTTGAGGGTGCTAGGGATTTTTACTTTTTCAGAAATTGGTACTACGGAATTCAAATGATTTATAACGACCAAAATTGTTAGGGTAAGTTTGTTTTCCCAAATTTAGTAAGAGAAAGGAAAGAGAGTATGTAATTAAAGGGAATCACTTTTCTGTCCTTGATTATAAAGCAGTTCTAAGTCTGTTTAGAGTACGGAGGAGGGGATCCTGTTCCTAGTTTCCGTGCAAAAACAAAAAATAAAAAAAATTTGTTATTACGTAATTGATGTAATGTAATATAATTGTTCTTTAAAGGATGTAAAAACGTTACATAAGTTATGTGAAGTTATTGCATAAATTGTTGTATAAGTAATGTAATAACATAAAACGCCATACAGAATTAAATAACACAGGAAAAAATTCAAGTTCCCCACTTTTATTGTGAAAATCTTAATGATACCTCACTTAATTTTTAATGATATATATATTATTGTTGTTCAATAAGGCCCCTCTCATATAATTTTTTGAGTGCTTTAAACTTGAATACATTTTCTCTTTAAAAGTTGAAGTTTTTTGGTGATATTTCTAATTCTTTTCGTTCTTGATTATCATAAAAATTTGAGGAGAAAAGAAAATCTTATATATTATTTTATTTCTTCTTCTACATTTTCTAACTAATTTACAATCTTTACACTTATTTTTTAAGCCAAGAAAAAAGATATGTTAACTAGACTTAACCAAGAAAGATATTTAAAGAGATTTTTTTTTAAGAGAATCATTTGCTCCCTTCTATTTATCAGTTTATTAAATTTGTTTTCTCACAACATACAATTACTACGTTGTTTTGCTGCTTTGGACCTGTTGTCCTTGCTTGAACATTTCTTATACTTAATACATTTTACCTTCCCAGTGAAAAGAAAAATAAAAGATTAAAAATAAAATAAAAAATGTGGATGACAAGAACAAAAAAAAAAAAAAAAAAAGTGTCAATCTCACATTCCTGTTCAAATTCTATGTTTTGATTTAGTGCTATGTTTAATGATTGAAAATACTAATTCCTAAACCAACACATCGGTTAACTCGTCATACCGCCAATACGTGACATATCAATCGGTTCTTAACCATTTTTCAATGGTCTGATATCGTTACATACCATGAACCAACTATTTCTACTGGTTTACACTGATATTTGCCAGAGTTCGTTAAACCGCGACCGATAAAGCGACTGCGAACCATGCTCCCAAGTTCCAACCCGGATCAAAACCCTGTGATTCCTTTTAAGTTATCAATCCAAGTGAATTATATGGCTCTGCCGAATATATGCCATCCCAATGTGTGATTGAAGTTTTTGTACATGAACAAGTTATAACAATCCAAAAATGATACATCTTTTGAATATGAAGGAATTCGAAGGATATATCATTGCTCATGCCAAACAGTATAAATAAAGCATCCCCTAGTCCTACAAATAAAGCATTTCTTTTGGCTACAAATATAACAAATAAAAACAACTTATCATGATCAAATTGTAAAATCTTACTGCAAGCAATATGCACAATAATCATACTTACCCAATATATATATATATAGGTTAAACTGTGATTTATTGGCCAAAAAAAAAATTATTATAGAATCCATGCTTTAATTGGTGAAGGTATGAAGGTACGTGGAAGCAATACACACTGCAAACATCATACAAATGCATGCATTGACAAACCAAGATTCTGCTAAACGATATCCATGTGCTCTAGCTGTCATGACTTGTAAAGAGATTATATCCAAACTAACCTAATGTGTGTGTCTAAAAATGCGCGCGCGCGTGTATATATATGTTTGGTCCAACTCATTGCTCCTAATCACCCATATTTTCAAGCGCATCTATTATTGAACAAAATTATGATTTTAGTTAGAAGATTGAAACCCCTTTTGAACCAACTCATTGCTCCTAATCAAACAATACTTGTCCCAGGGATAAAGATCACAGACAATATCATGATATTGTTCCAAGAACTATGAAGAGATCATAAAGCTCTCAAACCCACTAAATGTGCTTGAAAGTCTGCTAGATCTATTTATTTATACTTTTTGAAGGTCCCATAAAATTCTATGAAGGCTACCAAAGAGATCCTCTCAAAATTTTCCTCCTTATCAGGTCTAGATCCTAGCATTTTTAAGAGCAGGAGCTATTTCTCTAAAGTCACAGATCAAGACAAGGAAGCTATCAGTTCTATTTTGGGCATACTACAAAGCTTAAGGTAGGGAACTACAGACCTCTAATTGAGCGGATAACTAGCAAAGTTTAGAGCTCGAACACAAACTTCCTGTCTTATGCAAGAAGATTATAGTTCATAAAGGCATTCATATTCTCTGTTCAGGTGTATTGGTCAAGCATTCTGATTTTGCCAAAATAAATAAATAAATAAAAGAGTACTTGATGTCATCCAACAAACCTTGAAGAGATTTCTCTGGAAGGGGCAATCCTTGACTAAAGGAGGAAACATAGTTGCTTAGTCTGATGCTTGTGTCACAAAGAATGAGGGAGGTTTCGGCATTAAGGACATTGCTACTTGGAACAGCAACATTCTCTAAACATGCATGGCAAATGCTTAGTCCTAATCATTCCGAGTCTCGTTGGACAGATTGTATCAAAGCTAACCCTTTAAAAGGCAAAAGTTTCTGGCAGGTTAAGATTCCTACCTCAGCATCTTAGTGTTCGAGACTGAGAGACACTATAAGGGTGAAATTTAAGTATTTTGTTGGAATGGGAAAGATACTTCTATCTGGCTGCCTTGTTGACCTATTGCGTTGGCTAAAGGGTATAGAATTATAAATATGTCAGGTTGTGACAAAAAAGCAAAAATGGCTGATAAAATTGATCCTATGAATATGAAAAGCATTATAGAAATTATTTCCAAAGCCCCAGTCCCTAACATATGTGACAGATAAAATTGTTTTGGCGGACAGTGGCAAAAACTTTTCCCTATAAAATAAATAAAAAATAAAAAAATGCATGGGAACTCATTTCAAATTCAAAAGGGCAGATGTAATTGGGCATCAGCAATTTGATTTAAAGGTTATACGCCAAGACATTCTTTTATACTTTGTCTAGCTGCTCGGGGAAGATTGCAAACTCTCTCTGCTTAAACAGAAAGGGATCATCCAGAAAGATGCATGTGTGCTATGCAGGAATGCATCACAAACACTTCAGCACCATTTTTTTTAAATTGCAAGTTCTCTAGTTGCATCTGGAAAATCATTCAAAACAAAGGTAAACTGTCAAGGTTCCCTCTTGTTATCTGTTAGACATTTTGGAGTGGAGTGGTTCCAACATGAGAGGAAAATTTTGGGCTAACCGCTAATGTCATTCACAAAGTTGCCATAGCTGTGCTATGGTTTATAACACTTGGAGGAAAGAAACAAAAGGATTCAGGATAACTGTTACAAGGATGAGACAACAGTCATGAACTGTATAACTGAGGATGTCCAGTTGAGATATCTTATTCACATGGAGTGGAGGGATCCACTAAGAACAAAGATTTCCAACGAGCATGGAATATCCCTGATGAAGTTTTTTTTTTGTGAATTCTGGTTTCCTTTCTGTTGGGTTTCTTTCATACATAGGGAAGTATGCCCCGTACTTAAATTTCTTCTAATAAAAGTTGGTTATCTCCCCCAAATATATATATATATATATATATATATATATATATAGAATTGTTCACTTGCTCTCTGGTGTGTAGAAAAATGTATGCACACCTCAAGTGTTAACCGTTAGCTAGGAAGCACGGACATGCCAAAATGGGCGAAGAATTCGTGTCCGACACCGTCAGACACGCCCCCAACACGTGTCGAATACGCCAAAAAATGTGTCTGGATTTTTTTTTTGTTTTAATTTTCGGACACGGAACGAACACTCTGCGGACATGAGTCCGACACGCCATGGGTGTGTGTCTGACACGCGTGCCTTATTTTCGGGGGTCTAAAAGATAATTTTTGAAAGAAAATTGGGTTGAAGTATAAATATGTGAAGTTATTTAACAACTTTTACTCACTTATGTGGTCAACTTGTAAGGTTAATATGCAATTTTAGACAAAACAAATAGATATTTAAGGGCCAGTCATTACACTATTACAGTAAATGAGTTATGATTTGTGTATTTTTTTATTATAAGGTTAATGAAAAATAGTAACACTAAGTAATTTTTAAAGTAATACATTATATATATATATATATATACTATTCGCCGTGTCCGTGTCCTAATTTTTTTAGATTTGCCGTATCACCGTATCCGTGCCTCTTATTCCATTGGGAAGTTAAAAAGGTAGTTTATTCTTTTATATCCAACGGTTAAGATTTAATTCGTACACAAATTCTTTTCACACCAGTGAACAGGTGAACAATCCTTTATATATATATATAAAATAAAATACTTACTCATAATGTCTCGTTGTTGCTCTCTCCCCCTACTTTTGCTAACGGTCGTAATACGTCTTCATTGAGAGTTGTGAATATGATGACAATGGGGAAACTGTTCAAAGCAGTTCTAGCAAATTACCCGGCTTTGATTTGAACCACAATATCCAAGCATTCAGTAATTTTAAACTTTTCTAAAAACCAAAAGCTTGCACAACTTTCCCATCATCCAATACTTTTTGCTAAGGTTCTACAAACACAATTGAAGAAAAATGACCCATTTTCGAAATACTCAATTAAAACTGAAATATTCAACAGGTAGCTAAACAAGTCACTAAGGTTTCATTAACAAATGCTATAAATATAAGCAAAACAATCAAACACCAAAAACCCTCCTACATATTGAAAACCTCAAGCATATAGAATGTCTTTTGAGGAATAGTAATACAGAACAATGCTTGCTTCATTGAATTGAAAATAACAGTGAAAAAAGACATGAAATAGTTATTTGGCATACCTATCCAGTCATCCTGAAATAAATTTGTTCATGATATTGCCTCTAACTCAAACTTCCATGACAGGGTGATACGATGCTCTCCACATAAGCTCCCGCATACATCATCTTCTTCACATCTGGGAAATTCCGAAGTACCAGATCCCTGTATGTTCCCTCTCTTGTATTGTATAGAACTAACTTCTCGGAGTCTATCTTTAATATGGCTTCATGGTTCTCCAACAAAGCAAACAGACGGATTCTGTAAGATGGGATTTCAATGGCAACTTTAGTCCAAGACTGTGCCACGCCATATTCTTTCATCACCCAGAATTCACCACCATTATATGGAGTAATACAAAGACATCCTCCAAGCAACCCCAAGCCGTGGATGTGTTTGATAGAGGGAATAGGATCCGGAAACTCCCAAAATTTCTCGTCCGCCAAACAGAAAGCAACAATCTTTCTTGACCCGCGGTCATCATAGATCCAGTGGATAGCTCCATTCACCAGTACCCCGGGCTCAAGACTCTATTCTTGTGATTGTTAGGAAGGCCTCGAACCTTTTTCCAGGAATCAGTTCTTAGTGAATATACATAATAGCTTTTTTTTATCTGCTGTCACCAGTTTGTAATCATCAACGGAGTGATCATAGCCAAATCCCTTTACACAAAAACCATCCCAAAAACAGAATTTAACCTCAGTTTCGGGTATTCGCTTGGACTCTTTGGTGGAGAGATTGGATACATAAAAATCTGTTCTGCCGAACTTCGAGCACAACAACCCATGGCAAGGACCGATTATAGTGCAGGTCCATCTTTACTGGAGAAGCCACAATGTCGCCATAGGCTGCTGCTTCTAGGGTGAAGGCGTAGGGATAATGATCTTGCATTCGGAAATGGTATCTGATTAAAATATGTTGTCTTTGTCTTGGGAGATTAGGGCTTGTGATTGATCGATTGAATTGCGTTTTAACGAAGTAAGTGTCGGAGATTAAAGAGTAAAAGGACTTTGCATAAGAATTTCAATTGCAAGAGAGATTTGACAGACAGTGTAGAAAGTATGTCCATGAGTAATACCTGGGGAGGAAGACGATCTAGAATGCATGACTGATGATTTCTTTTCTCCGCCGCCTTCGTGGTCACCGCTGTCGTTGCCGCCGTTGCTGTTGCTTTGGCCACTCCTCTTCTGATCGGCAACCGATTTCTCCTCTTTGCAGTGGACACTATCATGTCTGCCATGGATTTGCCCCAATTTCTTCCTCTTCCTGTTGACAAGATCGTCACGATTGATTTCTTTTCTTTGCCATTATTTCTTTTCCTTGCCTGACCAAATTCTTCTCGGAATGGAATTTTAAGAAAAGGAAAGGAAATTCTCAATTTTTTATTTTTTTAGTTATTTTTTTTTATGTGTACATATTTTATATATGGACAAATTATACTGACTTCCTATAAAACTAGAACGGAAACGGTTATAACATAAAATCAAACCTGAAATGGATCGTGAAGACCGATCCGATTTAGTTCCGTTCCACAATTCCCAATATATAGAATTTGAAAAAAAAAAATTTGTTTTCTTCAAAAAGAAAAATCTGATTGTCAAACATTAAAATATTAATTGTCAATATTACATCCTAATTTAAAAATATATCTTGATTTGGCAATTTTGAACACAGTATCCACAATTAAGCATGTTGAGGCTAAAATTCGCCCAGTCCGATATGATACAGATGAACCTTGACGGCACTGCCAAGAGTCCTCCAACGATCAAATTAGTCACGAAGGTCTAAAAAGAAGACAGTGATTAATAATAGTTTTTACGTCGTCCCTTCTTTAATGGCTTGGTGCCCTATTTATGGCTATTAATTGGAATCAAAATCATTCTGCCGATGGTCGATGGTTGATCTTATCTTCCGCTTGTGCGAAATTATAAGAGATTTATTGCCAAATTTGTCGGGATATGATTTAATCATTTTGACCTCCTCCAGTTATAGTAGGATTATTCTTACCTATTGAACAACGTCAGATTTGATTTCATTATCCTTGATACTGAAATTTAATCAATCTTATCGAAGATAGTTTTATATATATATATATATATTTTTGCAATCCCTGTGAATAGTACCCACGGGTACTATTCCCGAGGGTACTATTCACATAAATAGTAACTCTGGATTTTTTTTTTTTTAACCCCTATGAACAGTACTCGCGAGTACTATTCATGTGAATAGTAACTCAGGGAATTTTTTTTTTTTTAATACCCTTGTGAACAGTACCGCGCGGGTATTATTCCCGCGGGCACTATTCACGTGAATAGTAAGTCAGGAATTTTTTTTTTTTTTTTGGCACCCGAGGGATGAATAGTATTTTTTTTTTTTTTTTTTGCAACCAAGAGTACTCTTCCTTTGATAAGGGAATAAATTGTATGAGTTTCACTTCTTAATAAGGGAATTGAACCTTACGAGTTTTACTCAGCTCGTCCCTTTAATAAGGGAATTGAACTTTACGAGTTTTACTCAGCTCACCTCTTTAATAAAGGATTTTTATTTACTATCCCTTACTGTAAGGGGATATTAATTACGGGATTCATCCAACCCAGGTCCTTGTAGTACAGGACATTCATTTATTATCCCTTATATTACGGGGATATGGATTACGGGATTCATTCAGCCCGGGTCCTGATAATACAGGATACTTATCCCCTATAGTCCGGGGATATGGATGACAGGATTCATTCAGCCCGGGTCCTTGTAATACAAGACACTCATTTACTATTCCCTTATAGTACGGGGATACGGATTACGGGATTCACTCAGCCCGGGTCCTTATAATACAGGACACTCATTTACTATCCCTTATAGTACGGGGATACGGATTACGGAATTCACTCAGCCTGGGTCCTTATAATATAGGACACTCATTTACTATCCCTTATAGTACAGGGATACTGCACGTATAAACTAAAAGGAATTTTATTAAAGACCATCATTGCCTCAAGGCTTATTAAAAACAAAATAAAACGTGATGGAGCTACCCTCCATTTAAAATGATTAACTAAGATGCCCCCGGTCTTTATTGTGAATGACTTGATAAAGCTAATTCCAGTCGTGAGACAATTTCTAGTCGGTATACTTGTCTGAGTCATTCTCATGATATGTGCTGTCGCTCTGGCCGAAGAACGATTTCTTATATTTGGTATTATTTTCATCCCTGGCGAGAGGGGTTGGCCTCTTCTTGTCATCTCCTTCCTTCCGTGCACTCATGGTGTCTTCAGCGTTGATGTGTTTTTGCGCTCTGACCAGCAACTCTATCATGCTGGTGGGAGGTTCTTTTGATAAGGAGAACAAGAATCTGGAGGTTTGGAGTCCTCCTATGAAAGCGGTCAAAGCTACCTTGTCGTCCGCCTCTTCTACCTGCAACATCTCTGCGTTGAATCGGGTGATGTATTCCCGAATCGACTCTTCCTTTTGTTGCTCCACGGTAAACAGGTAGGTAGCCGGCCTCCTATGTCTCTGACCTGCAATGAAGTGGCTCACAAACTACTTACTCAATTCTTCGAAGGTGTTGATGGTTCTTGGCTTCAACTTGTTGAACCAAACTCTCGCTGATCCCTTAAGTGTAGTGGGAAAAGCTCGGCACATGATTTCATCTGACACAGCGTGTAAATGCATAAGAGCTTGAAAATTTTCCAGGTGATCGAGGGGATCTTTGGTCCCATCGAAGCTTTCGAACGAAGGCATCCTGAACTTGCTAGATAGTGGACATTTCATAACGGCGGGGCTGAAAGGCAGGTTGGTCCTTTGTACCAGGTCATCTACGGCGGTAGGACCTTTCCCTTTCATAGCCTGCATTACATCTTCCATTTCCCCCTTGAGATCCTTGATCTGCAAGTCGAGATGGGTAACTTTCTTTGTCTTTTCCTTAAGACAGAAGGCTATGCTTTCAGGAGGTCGGAAACTCCGTGGGAAAGATGGGTGAACCACCGCTCTATGTCGAGTTCCTACCTGGCTTTGTTCCACTTCAGCTCATTTGGGGGGGGGGGGGGGGGGGGATGATTATCCTTCTCTTCAAGATTCCCATTACCTCTGTTTGGACTTGAGAGATCTTGTCCTGAAAAGTTTTGTTGAACCGGTGGAAGAATGTGTTGCAAGAGCGTTGCATTTTGCTGGATCAATTGGTTCATACCCTGACTCAGAGTTTGAACCTGCAATTCCAACGCTGCAAGCCGTGCCTGGTCGTTTGGGACGTCCAGGTTTTCACCCGACTCTACCCTTTGACTAGATCCCTGCGACGGTGTTCCTTCGGTAACCATACCGGACTGCAAACGTATATACCCAACGAGTAATTAATTGATTCAAGGGAATCGTCGTTCCCACAGACGGCACCGGTGTGGTGCCTGTCAAGAGCTCTCCAACGATCAAATTAGTCACGGAGGTCTAAAAAGAAGGCAGGGAATAATAATAGTTTTTACGTCGTCCCTTCTTTAATGGCTTGGTGCCCTATTTATGGCTGTTGATTGGAATCAAAATTGTTCCGTCGATGTCAATGGTTGATCTTATCTTCCGCTTGTGCGAAATAATAGGAGATTTATTGCCAAATTTTTCGGGGATATGATTTAATCCTTTTGACCTCCTCCAGTTATAGTAGGATTATTCTTACCTGTTGAACCACGTCAAATTTGATTTCATTATCCTTGATAATGAAATCTAATTAATCTTATCGAAGGTAAGGTAGGTTTATATTTTTCCCTATCAAAGCACATATGGTTCCTCTTCGCAAGCAAAAATCAGAATTTAGCTTTTGAGACGCAGAAACATATGGGATAAAGGTTGCAAACACCTCTTGTATTTTAAAAGAACATAAAGTGTACATGTTAAAGAGTCCCATTAAATTCAAATACCTCTTCGAAACACTTCTTCTCTTTTTCTTCATATTAACAATTATTCATTATTATAAATCATCATCAGCCATCAATCACTCTAATTAAATTAGAATAATGATAGGGAGACCGATGAATTAACCCAGAATAAGTATCGAATCTGACGTGTTTTTGTCCACCTCATCTACTTAAACAGTTTCCAAAAATAATTATTTAACACGTGATAAGAATGACCAATCATGTCAAATTCGATACTAATTCAATGATTCCTTTTCGGTTTTTCTATCATTATTCATTAAATTAATATGCATATCACTAATTAAAGAATTTGAAACAGGGTGGGTTTGAAGAAAACCATTTTTTAGCAAGTTTGGATTTTTATTTTAAATTCAAATTTGAAAGGAGTTAAATATAAGTCTTTGTTTAAAAGATCTGACATGAATTTAGTTCGAATATAAATATTATTTTATCTGAAATTCAAATTCAGACCAATCAAGTATATTATTATTCACATGACACAATTCAAATTTGGATCTTAACATTAAAATATGAATTCAAATTAGAATTCAATATGTTCCATTTCACATATAAAATAAAAACAAAAATAAATAAATAAGAACCTAAAAGGAAAACAATCATCTTTATCCAACTTCAGAACCTTTCCATTTATTTGTCTATGTATTTATGTTACCATTAAGTCTTGTTTGTAAAAGGAAAACAATCATCTTTATTCAACTTTTGAGCCTTCCCATTTCTTTATTTATGTATTTATGTTACAATTAAATCTTGTTTGACTCTAGAACCTTGTCGGTCTATGTTGACCATTTTTAGGGCCTGTTTGTTATGTGTTTTACTTTGGTGTTTTTGTTGAAGGGCTCAATTTCAGGCCCAAAAACATGTTTGGTAGCCCTTGTTATGTTTTAAACAGTACAAAAATATTGTTTTAAATAGTACACAATTTTGGCCCAAAACTGAAACACCGAAATGGTGTTTTTGTTGTTTCTGAACTGTAGCCCAATAAAAAGAACTGTAGCGCTTGAAGTAAGTTGGGTCTTGAACTGTAGCGGAGGAAGTAACTTTAAAACGTCGTCTGCAACACTTTGGCCCGATCTTTTCTCTCTCCTCTGAAACCTAAAGAAGGCGATTTGGGAGGCGAAAGGGAATCTGAAACCCTAGAGAAGGCGATTTGGGAGGCGAAGGGGAATCGTAAGCACGAAGTCTTTGAAAAGCACAAAATCGGAAGCACGAACTGTGGTGAGTACTCTCTCTTCTATTTCTATCCTCTTTAAACACTCTGTCTTCGATTTAGTTGTGAAACAAGAAGACTGTGATTCTCATGTAAGAGTGCTTGACACAGTCAATGTTAGAAAAACTGGTTAACTCTTGCTTGTTCAATTTGAATCAAAGACAATTAATTTAGGATTTTCAGCAAAATTGATAAACAGAAATGAAGCTAAAATTGAACATACGTGTGGAATTTCCAAATATGTGATGAACAATGAAAGGGGTAAACAATTGCTCAAGCAATTATAGGCTTCATTCAGAATAAAATTCTGTTGTGTACCCATCTTAGGATACACTAATTTGCAATCTACTAGAGCTGGCAGGAAAACTAATTTTTTATTTTTTAATCTACTCTTCTCAGCTCAACTAATTCTTCTTTGGAGTCAGTTATGTTTTTATCATTATTCTTTGTTCCACATGTGTCCTAAATATTTCAACCCATATTAATTATGGGTTTTTACCAGTAGCACTACCTTCAATGTGGATTGTGCCACTCTTCCTAATTGGTGCACTAAGGGGTCTTTACCGTACATGTTTAAAACCA